TTTGTTCTTATGCAGTAAAATGGTATAATTTTAAGAATTTCACCGGAGCCCAAGTTGAATCGACTTACCGGTCCGATGACCTCTGACCTTCTCCGACAATACATGGTTTTAAGCCCTGCAAAAAAGAAAAATTATAGCACGCTTTTTAATTTTGACATCTCTATTTTAAGGCGAAAAAGCATTGATTGACTGCCTTAAAGTTGGAATTTGGCAGGTGCAAAATTCCAGTAATTATATTTAAACAATTAAAATTACCCCCTTCATCCTTTGCCCTTTTTATTTTGTTACCGATTTATATCGGAAAATAAAAACTAATAAAGTCTTGATCATTTGTTGAATTCAACGTTACAATCACTTTCGCATTGGATCAATGGTTCCTTCAGATTTTCTATGTTTACTTTTGATTCAGAGCAATAAATGAAATTAAATCGCATGCGTTTTTCTTCAATTTGATAATCTGTCCCCAAGCAAAAGAGTGTTTGATTATTTCTCATTAGTAGTGTTTGATTTAAAGCGCTAGATAGACATTGATTCTGTCTCACAAGAGTTGCAAAACTTAGTGATTTTAATTGGAGATAAACAAATAAAAGAAACTCTAGTCATAGAAGCTATTATTTTTTCTCGGTCCCATTTGCTCATTTCTCCCATCTGACACCACCTGCGATGAGAATTTACATATAAAACGTTCATCAAACACAGGTCTACGTTTGCTTGTGTTTCTTTTTCAAAATTCAAAAGTTCGTTTTTCTTAATTTTCTTTTTTAATGATTTACACGTTAATTGAAGTGATATGGTATTTCTTCCTTTTTGTGCCTTACCTTTAGTCTGGCCACTATTGGACCAAAAGGGCATTCATTCTTTTCTTTTTTTTTCCTTTTCTGAAAATAGTACCTGAAAAAAAAAACTTTGCATAAAATAAGAAACAGATCTATACATGATATATTGAGGTGTGAAATAAACATATATATAAATATATATACATGTATATATGTGCTGTAAAGTTAATTTTTCTACATGTATGTTAAATTATGCTTGCTAAAATACAAGGTACACTGTACATGAACAGAAATCATTCACACGGGTTCCTTAGCATTGAATGTCATGGAAATTGAGAAGTCGCCTCTGTGCGGTGTCTCATTGACTTCGCCGCCAGTCTTATATTACCCGGCTCCATTTTCAAGGTAAATTGTATCTTGGAGATAAAAAATGTAATAATTACGTATGACATCTCATCAAACGCCGAGAAATCGACGGCTTTTTCTGTCGGAATCGAATAGACTCGGACACCCGATACTCATTCAAACACCCCTTGCTCCTGACTGTTTCAGAAATTTTATTTATTCAAAAGATATAAAGTTTTTAAATTGCCTTCCCCTGGGGGTGTAATAGATCGTCTAGCGGTGGGTGCAGTCACTTGATATTGTTTGTTCAAACCTGTTATGTGTGTACAGATACACGGTCAACAGAAAAAAATCCTGTCTTGATTACATGTGTTAAGACATTTTCATATATGCAATATCTTTTTGGTCTAATTTATTTGTCAAGTCTTTTACAGAAAAAAAATACTTACATGTATAACAATTTTATAGAACTTTTTGAATAAAATTCACTGGTGATTCAATCGTTGATTTTTTTTAAACATTTTTCCAAAAAGTTGATGATACAGTTATTTTTGCAACCAATTAGCCCGAGCAACCGTTATAGGATGAATTTTCGTAATATAAATATATCTTAAATATTTTTTCATTTGCTTACCGTTTCAAAGGCATTTTTTATTAAATAGTTACTTCACTTGTTTGTTTTTGGGCTTATTGTTTATTGTACATGTTTGTTTTGGTTGCTTGCTAGTTTTTTTTACGCTTGCTAAAAAATCAACTGAGGCATACTCAGTATATTAGATATTGCATGTGCATACTTAGATTTATTATATTAAACATAACTTGACAAGTATAAATGCTTTCTAAACATAATTTCAACCACGTGGAAAAAGAATGTAATAACCGATGTATAAAATAAATATAAAAGTTGCTTTTTTTAAAGGAAAATTTCTCTGATCAATTTAAACAAATCTGTGAGGATTAATACATGTACATGTATATCATGTATATTGTATAAAATAATTTTCAAGAACTCGGAAAAAATAGTTTCCATATAAGAGAAGCTCAATTTTCACACACATCTAATAAAATCGGTTATTCTTTGATTTTTGCAAGCCGGAAAGCAATTTAAAAATGTCTGACAAAAACTAACTCCACCTGGAGTTAATTATGTCACCTCATTTCAATTACTTTTAAAACAGATCCCAATGTAAGAGGGATATGAAAACCCCCCAAATTTGTTGACAGCCTTTTGAATAGTCGGTGTAGTATTAACAAACTAGTATCTTCATAGCCTCCGGAAAAATCCGTCACCAGATTGTCTGATGTAGCGTGAAGGTTTCGGCATTTAGCATCACGATTAATTGACTTCTAAAAGCTTAAGTGATTCCGGTGTGATGGTAAGAAGAAAGATGATTGGATGATATTACGAATTCGTTCAAAATGGCGATCAATTGAGATGCTTTGACAGTTAGACAGTGAATTGACAGGCAATTGTGGGCTTTTCTTGGTCACTTGTGAAAATTGATAACAGCGCCCTGTTATCAAGGTTTCTTATACACCCTTTGTTGATTTTATCCCTCAGATGGAATACCTTTTTTACTTGCGGCAATGCTAATCTCCATTTTGAAATAATGGATTTCAGTATTTTTGCACGTGAATTTAGTTCTCAGGCTTATAGAAGAAAAAAATTGACACTTTTGAAACACCACTCAAATTTCTTTATCTGCAAAATATTTTTTTGTATCGAAAATTATGTTTATAGAAAGAGTAATGAAACAGTAAAAGGATTAATTTTATTTAAGAGAGGAATTGTATTTCAAAATGTCAAATAGAATTTATACCTATGCAATACAATACACATAAAAAAAAGATCAAGAGCCATAGTCGCTGATTAAAGAAAATATCACCGTCTTTTGACCTTAGGCGAGACAATGTATAAAAGTCTTAGTCTTTTGTTCGGCATTATGTTCTAACTTTTATTTAAGTCTTCATAAGAACTCTTGTCCGCTATGATGAATGCATTGATCCTCTTACACATGTCAGATCGATTAAAAAATATGCTTAATTTATGTGTATTAGAGATTAATTCCTTCTTCTGATTAACTTTACTAGTAATCACGCACCTGCATCTTAACAAAGACAGACCGAACCAGTAACAGGATAATCTGCACTAAAGAATAGTATAATTCAGACAGGATTGTTTAGTCGGCTTAGCCTGCAGTTAAATATTTGACTTCTTGGGGTAATTCCGAATGTTTGCGGCAGACGGTTAAGCAATGGCGGATTTATACCGCAGACGACGTTTGGTAATACTTAAGGACGGGGAAGGTTGCGGTTATGCAACAAGTTAACTATACTGGTTAACTTTTAAACTTGTTTTTCAAAGGAAAAATTAAACTTTTTTGCTTTTCGAGGGAGTTAGTTAAATGTCGAAGTACAATACGATAGTTTGGATTATTATATAATAGGTTTTAAGTAACAGTCTAACACTGATATTAAATGTAATTACTTTCCTTAGAAAATTTGCTATGTTCATTTTGCTTACCTGCAATCTATATAGTGCAAAATCGTTATCTAAAGAAAAAATTCCGTAAAATTCCTTGCCACATGTGGTAGCATAATTCAGGTTTAGAATAGATGAAAGAGAGCAGAAAATAAAATATCCGTTGGAACCAGGGACAAGGGGTTACGTGCCGATCCCCCGATAATTTTTCCAATATATAAATGTAGAATACTATATTTATAAAAACAGACTTTCAATATGCTTGTAACGTCTGACTACTTTAATAAATTATATTGCTTCTTTTTTATTTGTCAAGGAAATAAAGTTGTCCCCATAAGAAATGTATACCCCCCACCCCTTCACACACATACACACACACACAACTGTTATTGTTTCTTATGGGACCGAAGAAAGAAGTGAAAAAGACTTTAAGTTAAAAAAAATGAGATTAAGAAAAAATAAATTGGAGAAGAAAAAAAACAGACAATCAAAACATAGATGTAGAGAAAATGTGACATTACATATGCATGCAATATATTACATGTATATGACTTACTGATTCAAAGAAAGCGAGTTTTTAAAAAAAAAAATTGTGAAAGGGTTTAGAAATTTCAAAAGTTTTCGAAACTTCTTCATAGCTTTGATAGCCGCATATAATTAATGTTATAGTTATTTCACAATATTCATGCAAACAAGGGTTACATATGCGAATACAAACCAACACGCGGCTATAGAGAAATTTTGCGTGCATATCTTTTCATATCATAGCATTTTATAAATGTTGCAATTTTCCAAGTGCTGCGGTAAGCACATGTGATAATGTTCAAATCATTCCATCCCAAGCATTTATCGATCTTCAGTTCTGTGTTTATTGACAAAAAATTACTCAAATTATTAGAAAAATAATATGAATTTTCAAACAATTATTATTATTTAGAAATTGTACGAAAACCATCTGAAAGTGATTGAGTTCCATTATCGTTTTAGCGCTAGATCCCCATTGGTTCGAATCCCTCTGTGGGACGAGGAGACTGGACCTTTGGATAAGACCGTATTAACCGAGGTACCTGTCGCAGTTGGTGCTGGCACGAAAAAAGATCCCTCCCTGCTAAATGGCCCTAAGTGCCGAGCATAGGACAAAGATTGCAATTCTCCACCGGCAATTAAGTGGTGGCGTCTCCTTTTAAGTAAAGAATTCTCGAAAGAGAACGTAAAACAACAGACAAAATAACTGCAAACCTTCAAAATATTTCAACCCGAAGGCATACAATTCACTTCAATTGCTTCAAGCACATCAGTGGATAAGCTTTAATTATGTACCTTAGAAATTAACAAAAGTCTGACAGTTTTTCTTTAAAATTTTATTTCATAATTACATTTTTTCTAACATTTGAGCACATATACACCTGTATATATATCATTTACAATCAACAATATTGCACAAAGACACAATAGAAAATTATAGAATTTGCATCCGCAGTGCGGTGATAGTAACAAAACTGTACATATACACGAGACTCTAAATTTAATTTTAATAATTAAGGGTTTAATATTCTCTTCATTTGAATGCACCAAGTCAAATGTAAATAGCCCTATGGTTGTATTTAGAGTACATGAAAATACAAAAAAGTGGTCAAAGCAGTTCAGAAGGAACAGTTTTCAAACTTAACAAACAAGAATTGTGCGTACTATGTAGAAAGCATGGCAGAAAAAAATTGAAAATTAAAATGCACCAATTTTCAAACAGAACAATTGACAAGCTGAAAAGCTTTCTCCGGCTAACATTTTTGGCAAGAAGTATTACCAAATATATTCATAAAATTATTATTACTAAAAACATTAGGCGAAATAACATGTTTCCCTTTTAAGGAAAAAAATAATGTTTTTTTTTTTAATATTTAACGCCCGAACGGCCCGATGATGTCTCAAAATATGAAATTATTTACAATGCAAAAACAAATGGAAAGATGATATGATAGCAGGAAATGGAATACGTGTATAAATATGTCATTTTTTTATGGATAATTATGTATAAATAGGTACATATATATACATATGATAAGAACGTCTAAATCTATTAAAGTTACAAAATTGTACAATCAGTGAAAATTAATCTAGAACATCTTGCACATCTTGAGGAAAAAATACAATAATCTGCTTAATGAATGCACCAATCGTATGCTAGCACGTCACGTGATACAAAGAACAAGAGGCCAAGGAAGAGAAAAATTACTTCCATTGTAACTCTTTTATCAAAAAAGTGTGTAAAAGGTACTCAACGAACTACATGACACAGATCAATTATACTAAATTCAGACATGTGTAAAACGACAGAGACTATACTGGTAGGAATTTCGAATAACGTTACGATGAAATTGTATTTGTTATTACATTGACCGTGAAAAGTGGGTTTGAAATATCATTGAAGATTGCTTTAGGCAAACTTGAATTTAATTGCTATCTGCTCGGGTAGAAATTGGCCCTATTATTCCTGTAAAGTGTACAATGAACGATTTTACTGCATTAGCACACATCAATGCCAATCTGTTTAGTTAGGAGTTCTCGCTGCGGAAGCGGTTTCATTTCACAAGTGTACAAGATGAGCAAGAGAAATATAATCCCTCGAACCGCATTCATCCGCGTTGTAAATTTCAAGTTTCATTTTCACTTCAATCTTTTGTTACGCGCTTTGAGATGACTTAATCAAAGGCATATTGCATTACGAATTTGGATGCTGATATTTGAGAGCTAACGCGAGACCCATGACCAGATAAACATCACATTGATTTATGCTCATCAGATTAAATAAAACTAATTGCCAATTTGATTTTTAAATTTCACCACTCGTGGACATGAATGAGAAAACAAATACTGAAAAAATGGATAGATTGATGACCGTTTATGAGTGGCAGATTTTATTTCCTCAGAAATATGAACCGCTTGTTGACATGGGCGCCGCCAATCGAGTTTGAGATCCGTTTTTACTCCTGCTGTGGCCAGACCACTTCCGGAATCGATTTCCGAACTTTGTTTGACTAATAGTTTGACATTTTGTCCTACATCAGAAATCACTTGATTTAAACATGTCAATCAAAAGTCTTTCAATCGGGATATTGCCAATTGTCTTTCTGAAGAACAATTCTGCAATAGTATTTCCACATACTGTTTTTAGAGTCGGGATCGACAATAATAATTTTCCAAACCGGAAAGGTTGGGTTGGGTAAGTTGCCTGGATGTATTTGCTCAGAGTTAGCTGGGCTTGATCTTGGAGTCCTGCAACTGTGTGAATGTCTCTAAGAGACTTTTCCTCGGAATTCTGGGAATTTCCAAAGGCTGAAAAAAAAAGAAAAAAATTAATTAACCATATATACCTATTTAAGATTTCAATGGTTGTAAGACATCCCTTACTTTCATTCATTAAAATATAATTCCACTTTTTTGTTCCACTAGTTTCAAATTACATTAGTTTTAACTATACACACAGGGAGAAGAATACCGTCAACATAATATAATGGATAGGAAAATGTGTAAGTTTGAATGAAAATTGAAATTAAATCATTTTAAAACTGTTATGAAAATCTATGATTAATCGTTTGATTTTGACGTCGATCTTACCTGTTTTGAATAGAACAATGCCTTTGAGGCAGGCAAATTCGGTAGGATCGACTTGCAGGGATTTAAACTTTGATATGATCTCCTGCAGGGCTCGGATTTCAGTCATAACACTGACTACTTTCTCAGCTGATGCATCTTCAGAATTTAATCCTGTAAGACATAATAAAATTGAAGTCCTTTGCTACTTTTATTATACATGTTTTATGAAATATAAGGGCTAAATCAGCAAGAGAAGAATTAAGTTTTCGTTACCTGCTAGGGCTAGTAAGGGACCTGCTTCTATGGGCATCTGGAATTGAGCTGCACCAAGAATGAATAATTCTCTCCATCCTTCGTCCAGCAACAAAATTTGATCTCTGAACGGAAGCCCCAGAAATGCTGGGACATTTTTCGCCCATTTTACACTCATGAATAACAGCCTAGCAGCAACCTCACACATGGCTTCTGGGTTAGTTGAATATGCTTGCATTATTTCATGTGGGTACTAAAAAATAGAGAATTTATTTTTTGAAAAGAAAATTATCCATGTAATGTACCGGGTATTACACAAGATAAAAGATATAATGTCAAATTTACTCAATTCATCAATTCTTTTATAAAAAAAAAATGTTATTTGAAGTTTTCTACCTTGGGTGTTGGTTGGCAGAGAATTCCAGGAGAGACAGGTGAAGGGGGCGTAACTGCTCCAAGATCCACCCCATTAGCCATTGGATCCATTCCATAACAACTGGGCAAATATGGAGGACGGAAGGGCGCCTGCGCTACAAATGCGCCGTAATCCCTGGTTTCCTTAAGGTACATGGCGACCTGCCTCCTTATGGTAGAATTTCTGGGTCCTCTTTCATGTTGTACAGCTATAAGAATACATATATTTATTATATAATGTAATTCAAAAATTAAATAGTTTTTTTAGAAGGATTTATATTTTACATTTGAGGCAGAGAAATGATTTTAAAGTTTGGGATAAGCGAGCAACAATTTTACTGTCCAACAAAAATTTATAAGGTGCGTACCATCTTTATTCATGCCAGCTTCCATGCATTTCTTCAGTCGACACGCTCTGCATTGGTTTCTGTGCGTCTTGTCTACTGGACATGTGCCTTGACCACGTGACTTGCAGATGTACTGTCTGTTTCGTCTGATGGACCTCTGTACGAATAAAAAATTATTATAACAAATTAAATTTTAAAAAATAGTTTAAAAAAGGAAAATAATTGCTAAAATAAGAAAATAAAATGTAATAAAACACTGTTTCATAATTCAGGATTGACTGTAATTTCCCCGTATTATTTTTACTTATTTAGTTAACTTTATTTATTTATCTATTTTTTTTTTAATTTTCAATGCTACGAAGTTCAACTCTTTTTAAGAGACAGCCGCTCTTTTCAAATTTTATATATACATGTATCGATTTCTTTATAGAAAACATTTTGGAGAAATCATATCAATTTACACACAGGACTCAACGAGTATCTGAGTGCTTTTTAATTCTTCAGAACGATTTCACAGGTGTTACAACAGTTTGACCCTGAAACTTGCAATGCTAAAAAATCAGAAAGACCGAACAAGGCGAAAAGAATGTTTTGCTATGTTTGAAGTGAAGTTTTAACGCAATGAGAAAATCCATCGGCAAACATATCCCTAAATTCTAACCAATCTTCAAAACAAAGGGCTTATATCTGTACACGAGTGTTTTCTATTTATTGATTAATAATCAGTTTTTGGGGGAGCATTGCTGTCGAATTAGGAGGAAAGGAGGATGTTGGAATTAAACAGTATCGTTGCACTATGAACTTTTAAGCACAATGTATTTTATTTTGCCTGAGTAACAGTCAATAGCGCCAAACATGTCCTTGATATAGCCTTTAAAATGGGATGTTACGCTTACACTGGATTTAAGATGGTCAAATATTGACTTGGTGTTTCGCGAAAGTCATATTTGTTCTGTTGTTGTTACCCATTTAGAAAGACATTTTTTATCCGAATTAATGAGGTCCTCATATATTGTCGGGCTACTGCTGTACTTTGCCAATTTTGATTAAGCCCCTGGCTTCTGAATTTAAGATTTTGATCATGGCAAAATTTCAAGGGCTTGTGCAATTGTAATTAGGTTTGATATGCATCTCCAAAAATAAAATAATAAACGGAAATAAAAAAAATTAAAAGAATGAAAAAGATAAAAAATGATTTACAAAAATTATAAATGAAAACAAATAAAAATAATATATAAATACAATAAGCATAATTTTCAGTGAAAAAATAATACAAACAAAAGAAAAAAGATTAGCATTCTATCTTATCCTGAAGTTCAAAAAAAAAAAAAATTGAAATACCTTGAAAAATCCCGCGCAGCCATCGCATGCATAGATGCCATAGTGTTTGCCTGATGAATGATCTTGACAGACCTTACATGGGATGTCTGTTAAAATGCGACCTGAAAAGATAAACAAGAGGTTGCAGGAGTTAGATAAGAATTTTCTTTCATCTTATTATATAGCTGTATAAGTAAAAAAAAAATGCACAAGAATGAAAATAAATGGTTGTTTCGTAGTCAAAATAAGTTTAATAAAATATTAAAATTTATTAAGTTATTAAATTTGAAGATGTATAAAGAATTAATTATTTTCTTCTTTATGGTGACTCTTAAATTATTATAAATTTGATTACATAATAACAAATAAAAGAGGTGTGTATTTTCATAAGAATTTATTCACCTAAAGTGACCTTACTTTATTTCCCCTTTTTATCAGGTGTTATATGATTATGTAACGAACGATAACTTTTCACCTTGGCAAGGTGCTGTGACATTTAAATGAAGTTCTCAATGATTTTTTACCCGTTATCAATTATTTTGTGTACATGTGTTTCCCCGTTAACCCGTAGAAAAATAATAGGGAAAAACAGTTTTGATTTATTGTCAGTTTTTTAAAGCATGCTCATTTAATTCCTAACACGACTTGTTTGTTTTAAACCTTATCATTTCTGCTATTTCAATTATATCTAATGGTTTATCTGTAAAAATGCCACAAGAAGTCAATAAGAGAATAAATAAAAATTAAATTTTATAGAGTGAAAAATGTCCGGCGTTTTATCGTTACTTAGGCAGCAACCGAAGTAACTTCGAACCATGTGCAAATGAACGGACGCACTATTTCCGAAGTTAAGCTTTTCTCGGGGAAGTTAATCTATGCAACTGAAAACATCTGTAATTATAAGTGACATTTTTATTTCTGTCACAAATTGATTGCCCCCCGTGCGCTCAACTTCCTTTATAATTCTGAGTAGATCGAGCCGTTTCCAGGCATTTTGAGGAATTTTGAAAAACATATGTTACATCGAATATGTCCAATAAGTTATTTATCAACCGAACAATGGGCATTTGTTCAAATTCAAGCGTTTAACAACTTCGCTCCCAATGTAACTCTTGAAGCTTACGAACAATCAGGTATTTATACAGATAAGTCATGTCAAAAGATTCATTCTTCTTATTGTGTGGTGACGGTTAGAAAATGACTTATGTGGCTTTTTTGTCCAATAACACGAATATATTCTTTAAGTCCGTGGCTGCAACGCTTTATTCGGTGCGGGACTTGCACGTAATTCTGTCTCCTGGGTATATGAATGTTTTTGTATTCTTTAAGCTGTATAAAACGGCACAGGTGCTTCGCAGAAAATTAGGACTGGTTTTTATACAATCCCAATTCATAACGTTCTGCCTCAGGTGTATTTTTGCTGTTTGCCTTCGCATCATAATATGGATTAAACATATTAACTTTATCAGGAATTGGAATATTAAGAAATTTCTAAAAAGGCTCGTCGGACGTACCCTACTCTAGATATCTTATACCGGTTTTCTTTCACTAGACATTGTTCAGATCAATTCAAATTCGCCTCATGATAATATAGAAGTCAGTTTGAATCATACTTGAAGTTACTAAAAAGTTCAAACTCGATGAACATTATACTATTCTTTTCATATTATTTCTTCCCAAGATAGTTCAAGAGAGTTTATGTCAATACGCGATATTAAATACTCTTTAAGTCTAAAAAAGAAGAAATATTAATGACAAGATTTGAAAAAAAAATTCTTTCCAAAAAATTAAATATTTTTTTTCAGAAAAATCACTAATAAAAAAGAAAGGTATATTACATGTAAACTAAGTAAAACTAAAAAAAGAATGAAAGAATTTGTTTAGTTGATCAAAAATGTAACTTGTACAGTATTCTTTTCATTAAGTGTACTAAAACGTTTCAATTTTGTTAAGTACAAGTGAAAATACCTTTTTCTATGAATAATTAATCAGAGAATATAAGGAAGAGACAAAAAATAGACTAAACTCTTCATAGACCCAATATAAAACAGATTTATCTGTTCAGATAAAAATGACGGAAATTTCTTTCCCTAAACATCATTTAAGGTGGTCACGTCAAACGGACGGACAATCGATTTCAGTTTTGCTTTTTTTCTCTTCTTTTTCTTCGTTCACTTTAAGGTGACTATCAACTTTGGATTGTCACCTGCGCGTCAGGTAATTAAAACAAGGCTTGTTGTCGTTTTCCTATCAGGCTGATTTCCCGAGCGCTTCCTGCATCTTCTTTTGTAGACCGACTTGACTTTCCGGGCTTAGCTACTGATAGGTATATGTATATAGGTTAAGTGCCTTTTAAACATTAATTAAAGAGCCCCTACTCTTTGTAGTCAAAACGGTGTTTGCATGCAACACATGCATTTTTTCAAGCCGCCAAAAACGGTTTTCGTCTTGATGGTCATGTTAGGAAAGTTCTGTTTTCATTTCAGTCGCTGAAGAGACATGATGTCATAATTTCCAACGTTCGGTAACTTGGTGATCGCGTGATTTCATTAGAGTTTGGATTAATTTGTTTACATAAAACACCAGTATTTCCGGTGAGGAATTAGGTTCTAATGACTTTTTGAAATCCAAATATAACTTGCTAACCTCATAAAGCCTTGATAAGACATTAAATGTTTTCTTTAAGTCTTGGAGGGAAATTGTAAACTTTGTTAATAGACAGTAGTTCAAAGGAAGTAAATTAGTTGCATAAGAAAACTTCTATCTTCTGTCTCGTGCCTTTTGCATGTGTAATGAATTTCAATTATTATGTGCACTTTATTTAATTTTTAAAAAATAATTTTCCTTTTTTTGTATTGGGTATTAATAGACATTTTACAGATAAAATTTATGATAGAAATAAATCATTTATATTTATTTAATATATTAATTTTTATTCTCAAAAAGTAACATGTTTCTTACTTTGAATAATGAAAAAAGGTCTGTGTATTTAAAACACAATATTTATTTATTTCTGAATTATTCAGATTTTTTTCTTATTCAATAGGTTAATTATAAATTAATTTATTCAAGTAATTAATAATTCATTGTATTTTTCATAACATGAAATAAAATTTACATAATTAATATTTTATGTTAAAAACTTACTTGAAGTTCCTGCTACTTTATTCATTTTAATTCTTGATCCTCTTCTCAGCTATAAAGTCTTCAGATATATTGTCACAACAGAGATCAAAAATTGTAGACTAAATATTGAAATAATGTCTAACATGTATCGTCTGGACTTCGGACACACCAAAACACAAACGCAGACGACATCCACCTCTTTAGACTAAAGACGTCGTCATGAATCAGAAACTTTATAAAATAAAACAATCGTAGTCACCCAGGGCTCTGAAGTTCACTTGGCAAAAAGTTGGAAAGTTATTCCTGTAGTTCGTAAGTCTGCATCGCTTTCAACACCCCATTTATTGTCCCAAAACAATATTAAAAGTTGCGTTCGGTACCCTCACCCGTCGTAAAGCCACGCGATTGGCTATTTACAGAACAATACACAACCAGGCCCACCTTTTGCCAATTCAATACTTAACCTTTACAAAGCACAGGTAGAACTCAATTGATCGTATTTAATCCTGCCTTGATAGACTGGGCATTTTGCTGCGATTTGTCGTTCATTGTTAACCTTTTCGGGTGTCTCCACCCCTTATATTTTTTGACGTCTGTTTTTAATCTAATGATAAATTTATGTCGTACTCTCCTTTTATCGAAATGAATTGAAAGATTTCTTCTTTATTTCATTTAAAGAAAAAAATACATGGACAGTTAGTTATAAAAAAATCTTGCATTAATATACAGATTTTAAAAACTACATTTTACAAAATGCAAATGCAATTATCATTTTTATGTTCCTTGAAAGCCCAAAAATTGCAACATATGTTGCAATAAAATATGATAGTACTCTGATGAAATACATGACCAAAACGACAGGCAATGGTTTAGATTTTTGCCAGTAGCTTTTAAATATGTATAACTTTTGACTTAATAATATTACACCAACCTAAAATAATATTTCCAATTCAAATTACAGAAATATAAAGAAGGTAATGTCGTAAATGAGTGTCAAGTTTAAATTATTTTTTTTAACTAAAATTTGATTAAAAAAAATGAAGTCAATGAATTATACTTTCTTTGACTAAAAATAAAACGACTAATTTGTGCTACATTAATTACAGTCCAATAATTGCTAAAAATATGTTTGACCTTATGAACGTCACTGTCAGGTGAAGTTGTTCACAGATTCTGCGCAATCTCTTTCATAACCTAGTCGAATCTGTATGCAGCTTAAGAGATAATAAGCTCGAGTCCACAGATTTAAATGACAAGAAATAAGGAAAAATATTGTCAGTGTACGTTTTGTTCCTTATCTGATGTCTGAAGTATACTTTTTTATGTAGTTAAACATGTCTAGCAGAGTTTATATCTGATTTAATTTGCTACAATTCAATGATCTGTCTTGACGAAGAAAGAAAGATTCTTATCAGCTTGTAAATGTCGCCGTTTTATACGAGTTGGGTGGAAAAGATCATTTCTCTTTCTAAAAAGTCACCGTGTTACTGATGTTAAAGTCCATTTTAAGGGATTTAGCTTCTTTTTGAATCTCTATTAATATACTTTAAAATAACAAAAATATTTTCTATATTTTTTATTTGTTCTAAGAATAAGCCTCTTCATCGATCGATCTTTACGTCAAATATGTATTAGAAAACTTGAATCTAAGATATTTCTTCACAGTTTTTCATTATAGATACATGTACATGTATACGAACCATCTTCGTTTTAATATATAAAGTATGTAACTGTTTAATCGCTGAGATGTTGAGACCAATTTCATTAAGAAGTGCTTGTTTTGTTTTATCTTATTTTATTTCAATTATTCAATTTCTAAACGGTTATTTTACATTTTTGCAAAATATTGAAAATGATTTCATTAATAACTATACTTTGCTGCTTCAGATGGACTTAATTAGTTACATTTCAAAGTTTTGTAAATTTTTGCGTAGCAATGATTTTTTTTTTTTTTTTTGAAATTGAGTATAAGATACAGCTAGGGTAGGAAAAAATTATACATTTTCGAAGAACGACACGTCTGACCTTTTAAAAAAAACCAAGACGCTGATGCTCAGAACCATCAATTCACGTTGTTTCTTCAGACTCGAGTACCCGGATCACGTGAATTTATTTCCCTCTTGTATATATGTAAACTAGTTAGTAACAATTTTATAAATATTATCGAAGAATTATTCGACCTACTACTACATGTAGTACAGTGTATATTTATGTTTAAGTACATACGATTCTAAAAACAAAAAAAAAGTAGAGTAAGAAAGATGTTTTGTTTTAAATTAATCCTCCTTTGTAAAACTTGTGATAATTTTGGTGATTTCAATGACATAAGATAGCATTTTTTCTAGAAATAGGTACATGTCCTCATTTCGATGAAATACAATGGTCGAAGTTTCGTAGAAGTACAAATAAAGTTCAGAATCAAAGACCTCAAACAGAAGGCCAGACACAGAGATTGCAAATGTTAAGACTTGGATTTAAATAAAGTTAATACATAAAACACACAAGTTCTTTCTCCCTTATTCATTAACCAGGGGTTAAATACATAATTCAAAAGGATTTGTAAACTTGACCCAATAAAAATAATTCATAAAATTAGAAAATAAATTTCTACCTAATCTCAACTTTATGTGTTCTAATTATTATGCCATTGCACGTTGCGTCTGCAAGAACAATAATATTCAAAGACTACAATATACAGACTAAAATTTTTAATTCCAAAATTACAATTTACAATTATTTTGTGAGTTACATAAATGTAATATTTTAAATCTAGAGATGTACCTTTAAATGTTATTAAATTGTAACAATTTTTATTTATTGTGAAGACTGGTGTAAAATTCGGTAAAAAGACAAGGTAGGTTAAGACTCTCTTTGGCCCCTGATTTGTCTTTCACATGTAGAATTATGCGACAGTTTATCAATAAAAGCATGTCGTCACCCCTCCCACAAAATGAGTATTGGGTTTAACTTATGGGATACACAAAGGTCACAGGAAGACCGGAAAATACACGAATATCTGAATTTTCTCATTTTTATGAAAATTTTCAACGATTTTCCAGGACATTTTGTATGAGAAAAGATAGAACACAAGCTTTCCTATCTACCAAAAATATATGTTTCATACACTAGTATAAAATACTCCTTGTGTATAAAAATCCCAGATAGGCAAGCTTGTGCTCTATGTTTTTCCGAAGTGAAAAGTATCTCAAATTTATCAAAATTCCAAAAAATAATTGAGGAAATTCGGAAAAATGTTCTACTTCTGTACCCTCTTGTTTCCTCTGTGTACGATTTGAATGAAAGTAATGTTGGTTTTAAAACAAGCATCAATTTAAGTTCTTAATTACGAACTATCACAATTCTAAATGTTTTTTTTCACTTTTTGAATTTTGCATCAAATTAATTGGGGGCTTAGGACGTTACCATACCTTGTACTTAGAATGATTTATATACGAATTTCATCTCTTTTAGGATTTATTCTCATGAATTTGATGTCACAATTATGTTCCCATATCAGATTTTATGCTTCATGCATACATGTGTATAATGTATACTTTTTTTTCCATTTTAAATGTTTCATATTACATATATATTTTTTTTCAGAATTTGTACCGTGATGCTTGGTATAAAAAATTATTTTGATTGAAGAATATTTATGACCCCTCCTACATTTTTTTCCTTCACTAACCTATGCCAGTCGATTTTTGACAAAATAGCTATGATTTTTTTTAACTTGAAAATGTTTTATTCCAAAGAGACCAGACAAAAACAACTCAGCAACAGCTTCACTCATATAGGACGAGACAACTAAAGAAAAAATTTCCCATGACTTGAGACAGTAATTACCCTTTGTTGTTCAACAACAGAAATGTCAAAGATATCATAAACAAGATAGAATTATATCTCCAAATTTCATCCCAGATTCCTAAACACGATTTGCTGCTACCAGACAATGGTCTGTTATCGATACTTGTTTGGGCTGCGTTCGTATCAGTTAATGCATCAACTCCTCCCAAAAGCCAAGACATTTCCCCTCGGCCACTTGGCCTACGTTTTATTTAGGGTGTTGTTTATTCTTGACAGTTCGAATGAATCGGTGACTTGGCGAGAGGAATCTTTCTTATATTTGTTTATGATTAAGATTTACCTTTCCATCTAAATCTGTGGGTTTTGGTTATTCTTGCTGAAAGATTTTTTCCCCTCCGAAAATTTTCTTTTCATTCAATCGAATTGAGAATTCTTTTTCAGCTCTAAAAATCAGATATTTTTATAAGATGACCCTCAAGTCATGAAAATGGTCAGATATAAGTTCTGTTTTTGTTAAATTGTTATTTTTAAAAACTCATCTTTATTTTGTCTACCTTTTTAACCCTCCCTCGACATACAATTTATATTATTCTGAACTATTGGTTTGTATATAAGAATTTTATACTTCTATATCCAGATTAGCTTAATGTTTAAGTGCACAAACTTTATGTCACCCTGGAGAAATGTAGCCCAAAACTTTTTATAAAAGAAAACAACCAATATCTTTAACATATATATCATTTTGAGCTTCGTAGGCGTTTTTGAATGGTATGCGTCAAAAAGGGAAAATAGCCATCCGCATTGCCGATCTAAGTTTCGGTCAATCATGATTTTGTATTGTTAAAGACTCATCATTTTATTTTTGTTTCATTTTTTAATTCATAAAATGCCAGAAAACATATTTTCTTAATCGCTACATCTTGTACTTTCATAAAGATTAGTAAAATGTTAAAGTACAAAAATTGTTTATGAAAATATACCATCTATTTTGTCGAAGAAAATATGACCAAAAGTTGTTTAGATTTAATTAATGAAGTGTACGTTCATTCCAGGGCGACCTGAAGGCGGTTTTTTATGTTTTAAAAGAAAATGTCTTAAAGAATGAATTTGAAATTTTATTTACTTACAAGAAAATTTTATCTTATTGCTTGTGATAGGCATGTGTGCAATCGGGATTTTCTCTGCTTGTTGAGGCACAAATTTATGAACTTTTCGTTATTTTTGTGATCTTGAAGTAGCAGATGGAATACTTTTTGTACACGCATTTATAAAACTAAAGAGTTCTAAATTTTATAAAAGTATGATTCCCAAACCCTCAAAGCTAAAAAAAAAAAATAATAATAAAAATAAAATCATTGAATAATTGTTATCCGATAATTCCTGAAGATTCGTAACTCGAGAGAGATTTTTGTAATTGTTAGTGAACAATGACCGATTTTGAAATCTCGTTCTTTTGACATTTTACCTAATACCAGTAATCTATATTTCTCTAACTAAGATACTACATACATACAGATCATTCCTTGTAGAATGATAAATTGGCAATTTTTAGCGCTCTTCGAGTTTT